ACTGAATTTTCGGGCATTGATCTCCTACCAAGAGGTCAACTTATTGACTCAGACTACGCAGATGACAGTTCTGTTTGGCAAAGATGCCGATAAAAGGTAGTCTCTTGGTAGCACTGGGCAACGATATCAGGATGTTTGGGATGCGATTCTCCCAATCTAAATGCAAGTTGTTGCTCCAGGACTAGCCTGCGTCAACACCTGAACTCAGGATAGGGAGTGAAGTGGTCGAACGCGTTGACAACTTCACTTATCTTGGAAGTCTGATCAGCAATAACGGATTGGTGTTTGACGAAATCTCTGCACGGACTCGGAAAGCTCGTTTGGCCAACTCACGTCACCTATAGAGAAGGCGAGATATCCGTCCATCAATTAAGGGACGAGTATACTGTGCGGCAGTTCGTTCTGTTCTACTTTACGGCTGCCAAACGTGGCCACTAAGAGTAGAATATACTCGTAGGCTATTAGTATTTGACCACAGATGCCTTAGAAATATTTCTGGCATCTGCGGAGATCATCGTGTGAGTAATAGTGAGGTTAGAAGTAGGGTATTAGGAAAGGGTGGTAAATCAGTTGATGAGGCTGTCAATCTTCATCGACTGAGATGGTTGGACCACGTGTTACGTATGCCTGGACTCCGATTACCACGACGTGCAATACTAACCGGTGTCGGAGACGGATGGAAGAAAGTTAGGGGCGGCCAAACCAAGACGTGGCATCAATCCTTGAAGTCACTAACTTCTGGTCTGAGACATGTTGGTAGATGCAGACTACTTGGTTGGGGTACGCGCGACTATCGTAACCAATTGTTGGACACTCTGGATGACATGGCTCAGAATCGATCACAATGGCGTAGGTGTATACACTCTCTGTCTTCCCTTAAACTATGAGATTAAAATTGCTTCATATCCTTCTTTCTACCAACGAATTCTTTCTTTCTGTACTATATCCTTACATAAAATCTTCCCTTCATACATTACACTATTGTGCTAACTGCTTCCATGTATCTGGAGTTCGTCTTACTGTGCTAATGGTATGTGGCAACTTGGACCGATGCATGTATGTGCCAGGTCCTACGTTGTAACTGAATGACTAACTTAATGTGGCATAATTTAATGCGTTTGATAACGTCAGCCTAATTTTTCACTTTACATAACTAAGGATTTCATAACTGACTGGTAATAAATTCTGAGGGGTATTCAGGACAAGGTTTATGGCTTGACTCGTATTGGTTCGCAACCAATTTTGAGACACACGACCTTTTGCAGTAGAGCTGCTCTGGTGTTCGATTATTTGGGTAGTGTATGAGGATAAAATGCTTACAACGTAAGGAAAAAACGCGGTGACATGGTTTTTTGGCTGTTAATCGAAAGTCTAGTGGGAAAAAAATCACGAAAACACTCAAGCTGCAAGTTTTCGAAAATGAGTATTATTATAAGGATGGAAATAATCTAAGCAGGTAGGAGATTAACTATGTATTTCCCCCCATTTAATTTCAAGACAGAGAAGTACATATCCTGACAGACTAATAGGCTTCAATATTTGAATCAAATGAATATTTTCCTGGTATGTTTACAAATAATTATATGATAATCGAGTTTAAACATTTCAAAAATGTGTTTGACAGTACTGAACGAATAAAGTACTTATTCTAATAAATCCGCTTAGGTTCAGTGCACTTGGAAAACAATGAGGAAATCAAACACTGGATAGCTTCATTGGATAAATATCATTAATGCGAGAGACTAGATATCCATCTACGTTACTGTGAAAATTTGCAGTTGTAAGCGTCGTCCGTCTATCTGTGCAGATCTTTTTGTAGACCGATAACTTCACATTGTGATCCACTACTATTAACTAAATATTGTTAATCAGTCGGCTATGACGAAGCATCATAATTCGAGTCAACTAAGGCAGTTTGATAGACTTATAGTAATGCTTCATCCTTCACTGTACTTGTTTAGAAGCTAGTATGTATTATACACAGTATGGGATCACCACCGGTAACGGAGACAGAAAAGAAATGACTAAAGGCTAACAATTCGCTGAGCGTAATATAACTACTTACGTGGAGAAAATATTAAGATTGACAAGGAAATAAACGCTCGTGTGGTTATAATAGTAAAATATAATTACTTGTGCTGGTCAACCCAAAGGTTTTGCGTAAATTTAGGTCAATACATTTCGAAAAGCTTAATTGCGCTCTAAACTACCTAATTTAGTAACGTGGTGGATAGCTTTGTTGATAAGCTGATGTACGACAAGGGTTGTCACTTCGGACTTACAATGCCTGCGATGAATAGAAATGCATTATTGTTATAGTCAGATGAACTGTCAGTGACTCACCATGAGCGGAAATATGGAGTACGGTCAATTAAAGAAAAATAGGAGACGATATGAATAATGCGCATGACCTTAGTTACATACATAACGTTCACTTTATCCTAGTAAACTTGATGTTAGTCCGACTGTAAAACATCAGATTTACAACGCGTCAGTGAGAGCAGTTTCGTTTTATGCCTGTGAAACCTGGCCTCTAAGAGTTGAGGATGTTAGACGACTCTATGGTTGATTATCGTTGTCTCCGAAGGATTGCTGACATCCAGTGGCATCGTGTCCTGGCACAGTGACGATAATTCAACTTGTCACCGTCTTGGAACACCGACTTCGGTGACTTAGACATGTCCAACGAATGTCTTCCCAGAGAATTCCATCTCGTGTATTATTCGCCAACACTGGTTGGAGAAAGCGGCCAGTATATGATATGGTGTCGTGGTATGAAAGAAAGCTGTAAAGGACTGGCTCCTGTCGGTCCTTCTTGACTCCCTGGTCGGGGTCCTAGAGATGGTGCAACACAGTGGCCACAGATTATTAGATATGGCTCAGGATAGAAGCCAGTGGCGCTTCTGTCGTAACTTTACTTCACAAAAAAGGACGTGACCTCTTCAACTGGGAGAATTTCCTCCAACTGCACTTCCGCTAGTTGAACTGTTTCTCCCATTATTATTTATTTCACTGTCATACACTGTTCCCCTTTTTCGTATACGCATCTTATATCTTCACATTTTCATTGTGCGCATACGTATCTGTTCCCCCTTTGTACCAATATTTATGTGTTCAAATAAATAATATCTCCGACCGACTAAAATGGCTCGTCCAGAAATTTAGCGACCAAATAGATCTGAATACAGGTTACCTGTTCGACTCTGACCCTAATAATGAGCCCTAGGTGATAAAGATATAAGTCTGGTCTATCTAACAGTAAACAATCATACTCTCATGACAGTTACATGCACTTCATGGATGTTAGGACAAAATAATGCATCTCACTGTGATTAGGTAGTAGGTTTCTCACTCTTGACTCAGTTAATTTCACAGGCCACGACCGTCCAATAAGGCTTTTTCAGGACGATCCACCGCGTAACTTCTAACAGTTATTCAAGTAAAATTAGTCTGTGGCGAAAGGTATCTCTAGGAGGATTACTTATTTCGATTACCGTTATATGTAGATATGGTGCTTTGTTAACAGTAGCACAGTGCCAATTACTATTGTGCAACTAGTTTTCCGATTATTTCTTGAATTATACTGTTCGTGAACTGTATATATTTTTGGGCCTAACTACAATACATATTAAAGGGGTGTGTAAATGTACATTTGAACGGGAGTTAGACATAAATTGAAGGGAATCTACGCCATAGTTAAATTGTACAGTTTTTTATTGCAATCAGTGATAATAATTACTAGTATTTTGAACTATATTCTGATTTCTTACTATAGAACGAAGTACAACCACGCAGCAAACGTTAAGCGCACAAAGAAACGAAGATAGTTGTCACCTTGAAACCCAATGCAGAGACTTTCTGCGTACAAGAAGAGAAATGTATACTCACAAACTACTTAGCGCGGCTCTGATACCGAGACATCTTTACATGATAATATTCGTGACAGACAGTCTCAAATCCCAGGCTTTCAATATCCAACGTGCTTCTAACAGGCCAACCCAAGGACTAAAATTTGAACATTCATTTACCTTCATCCTAACAACGGGAGACTATCGGGATAGCAACAGGGTCTACATTCGAAAAAAAAAATTTGGAAAGTCCTTGACAAGTGGATCTTAGGTCGATGGCTTATGTCCATCTGCATCCTCTTTGGCGTAGTAATGATATAAGATTGAGTATCAAAGTTTGACAACGCACCGGCGAGTTAAGTTCGTCTGTGCTTATGAATTCTGGGATTTTCGACCTTAGAATATTGGGAGATTCTCTGGGTTTGGTTAACACTGTTTACGAGGGATTGCTTACATACGATGAGAACACAATGCTAGAAATGCTGAGGTTTGGGAGTGTGTTTAAACACATCTATATTACCTTCAGTATCACTATCCTGAAACACTGACTTCGAGTTTTTTCCTGATGTTATTCTGGTATCTTTCACACCGCACGTTACTTGCTGACGCAGCGACTAAATCGAGGAAGAGAAAATGTGGTCAGCTTATGACATGGCGTCATGATATGCAATATAGGCGAATAGGAACGAGACCCGTAGGTCCATTAAGATTGCTTAGTTGTGGTCCTAGAGATAATGCAACTAAGTATGTTGAGACATTATGCACAGGCCAAGAATCCCACTGTAGTTTCTAGCTACATTGTTCATAAAAGTGAGATGGATTTCCTTAATTGAAGAACTCTCTAGATTGTATTTCTACCGAACTTTACCTTTAATGAAATTTCATGGGTGTCTGTTTATTTACAGGCTGTACGATTCTTTTTTCTTCCTACAAATATTATGACTTCGACATTATGTACCCAGACGTTTATATCTTATAAATAGAAGCTATTCACAAGTAAAAATATATATATAATTAAGATTAAAATGTGCTGAGGTGGTCTCGAAAGATTTAGCGAACCAATCATACGCTAAATAACGTTTAATTGTTCAAAGTAGGAACAGTGGAAGTTTGTAATGCCTAAAGAAATGAACTGAAGAATATGTTAGAATATCAAGATTCAGAGGTCAAAAATTCATCATAATTTTCTTCAGATAAAAGGTCCTTGATTTGTGATAAGTCTGAAAGTCGAAGCTTGAAAAGCCAGCCTGGAAAATGAAATAAACAGCAACTGTTAAAATTAAGCTAAAAGCTATGCGTTATCTAACAAAATATTAGCTTTAAAAACAAGGATGACAGAATCAACGCTTAAATTTCTCTGTGCATATTTACATGCATAAAAGGCTAAATATAATACTAACTATACAACATAGGCTGTTTTGCAGTAAATACGAAGATCCGGTTTGCCATAATAAGATTTTAAACAATTTTAGCGTGTGTTTTCTGAGTACCTTCTGACAAGAACATACACAACATAAGCTAGAGTACCAAATTGGAGATGGAAATTAATGTGGTTTTGAAGTAATCCCTTTTATAAATAAATTCGTCTCCGGAACATTTACGGATTTAGTTTGGAGAATGAAATAAGTCGGTCTTATAAGCAATTTTGTTTTGCTTCAGGAGTAACAACCTGTGATTAGGATCAAGAAACAAAACCACTGCTTAATAAATCCTAAACGTGCCATATGAGAATGAAACCTGAGCACTTTAATGGAGCATGATCGCACGTCAAAATTCTAATTAGATATGTTACCAATAAGGTAGTTACTATTTAGGACGAGGGATGGTCGGGAATTAGAGTAAAGTTGGATTATTACTTGGAACATTTTATCTATCATTTCAGTAAAACGGTCTAAAAATAAATCACTAGCCAGCCTATTTGGTGGCGATTTCATTGACGGCCGACCTTTTAACTCGTCTACTTAATTAGCCGAAATTAGGTGCCAACTACTACTGCGTCCTTGTGCATTCCTTTAGATCATGTTGTCTAGCACTTTTCGTAGCCATTACGAAGACATTTCAGCTTGCGCTCGATATATTTCAGCCTATTATCGTGTTTAGAGCTAGTTGAGATGTTTTATCAAAAATCTATTTCTTAAAATAGGACGTTGTGCACAGTTGTTACTGGTGTTTTTTTGTAGCAAATCATATCCTTTTTAAGTGTTGCTAAAATAGGGAGGGGGGAATAAGTCGATAACCCTGAGGTCAGATGCACAGTTTTGGGTAATCACAGCAAGATAGTCGACGTTGACTACATATGTTGTATACTCCAAACCAGTACTCATATTTGATGCAAGATGAAACAGTATTAAGGTAGGTAAACAGATGAAGATAGCAATTATCAATCTACAACTCAACAGATTTTTCGTTGGAGGAATACAAGCTACCTGACTGGGATGCTCAGTACTTGGAAAACTGTAAGTGAAAGCTCTGTGACGTGGTTCACAGCTGATGATGGTGGGATGGATGGACTTGGATCTTACTTAAAAAATTACATTTCTTATTATTGATTTTATTTTTTGGATCGTGCTTATAGTGCTTATTTTGTGTAACTAATTACACTACAGAATTTTCTGAAGACCCTTTTGAGAAATACGACTTCATATCGACGGAAAAGGTTTGTATGCAACCAGAAGATTCAAACACGCATAACGTACCTTCATCTAAAGGGGACTGATTGATTATTTTTGTATTTTTTTCAACATCTGGATTGACTTCAATTATGGTACCTGACGCTGGAGAGTATACTTCGCTAACAGCTTTGACTGACTCGACAACGGCACATTGGTCTACTTTTAGTTATCATAATACCAGTAATACCATTAACATTGATCTTGTCTCCAATAGTAGGTAACTCAACGTACACTATATCACCCAGTTTCTGTTCAGCATATTTAGAAATTCCTACAATCCCAACATCACCATTAACCTTGATCCACTCGTGTTTTTTGGTATAGTATACATCTGGTTTTATTCAAAAAGATATTGACTTACTGGAGGTCAGTTTACAACTTGTGCTGAATGTTCTACTCAATCGGATGGTTTTTGAAATAAGGGAAGGTGATCGACCTAATAACACATACATTTCAATTTTTAAGTTCAGTTCCGTGAGAATAAAGCCTGACCAAATATGCGTATTTAGTTTCCAATAGCTAGAAGTGAAAGACGATGATACTCCAAAATACCAAAAGATATCAATTACAAATGAAATTTTAAAAGCAAAGCCATTGATGAAGTGCAGTAATATTAGAACAACACGATCAACTTTAAGCACTTAGTGAGTAAAGTATTAATTGTTGGTGATTTCAATTGATGAACGGAAGTTTGTTCGACTAACGTCTGATGAATAGTTACCACACCAAATAAACACTTTTATTGATTATGCTACGGTTTAACAACTCAAGTACTTGACACAAGCTAGTTCTCAGTTTGAATAGCCCTCATACTTCTGAGATACAGACAACCCCAATTTGTAGTTTATGGAGTGCCGCGGGAATTTGCACGTAGTAGTTTACCCATATTAATTTACAAGTGATGTATTGGTAAGTTGTTTAGAAATTGTGATAATTAAATGAACTTTTGACGTACGCTTGGAATTAAAGGGTTTATGATTCGAAAACGGTAGTCTAATATTTTATTTACATGAAGTAAAAAAACCTGCATACGTTTTCGTTCGTTCGAGAGGTGGAAGTCTGTTGGTCAATTTACAATGCTTTTATAAAGCCGAATGTTTTGATGTACAATGAGAGCCCTGTTCGGACAATATGGCAATGATCGATGCCATCATGTGGCTTGTGTGTTGCCGAAAGGAACGGCACAAACCCGATCTCCCAATTTCGGGGAAAATTTGGCCCGTTTTCGGGACGCTGCTATAGTAAACTTTGGAGAAATTTCGAAGAAATGGCACCGAAACCCAAAAACGTTTTCAGATCTGGGGAAATCCTTCTGAATTTGGTGTTTTCCCCAAACTTTTGTGAACGTCATTTGACTTTGGAGGTTTCCCCAAACTTGGGAGATAAGAAACGCAAGGTATAACGTCTAACATTGCTTAGGTTTGCATCCAACCTAAAGGTACCTTGTATGCTGGGGTAGTGTGAAGAGCAGTATGTTAATCTAGAAAAGAATATATATTCTTTTCCAAAATAATAACAGAAAAGATGGGCCGAAAACTTAGTAACCACAAGGAATGCACTCACATTTAATAATGAAACAACCGATGAAAATAAGAAATAACACAGGGATCGTATTAAGACAACCTGGTATTCGAAACTGGAGGTTAATACCGTTATTATAACAGAGGTACTTCCAGATCCGCCCGCCTTTTCGTCACAACGACCTTCAAAGGCTTGTTTTACAGTGATTGTCAGATTTGCTCGGTATTGGTTGAATAAGCGTAAACTATCAAGATTTTCAGGCGTTCCCATATTTAGGTAACTAGTTTCAACATCGACACCAAATTTGTTACAGAAAGCCTACATGAAGTTTCCTCTTCATTTAAGTATTCATCTTAGCTTGCTTTTATTTTATAACAGTTTTTCTTTGAAATTAATGTAGTGATAGATAAATCCCGAAAATAAACGGTTCTTTAAATCTTTAGCAGTGATGACGACCTCATTATTTTTATTAGACGTAGCTTTGCCGCGCGCTTTTCGAACGGGAAGTTTAGTCCTAATGTGATTTGCATTTATCGAACTTTTGCTGTATTTTCACGCAACAAAAGTACCATTTCAGTTCGAAAGAATCTATCTTGAGCTATACGTTCGGCGGATTACTTTTCTTTTAGGTTCACCATATTTATTAGTTAACTGTGGTTTTGCCTCATCTGACTATTCAGTTTTATTTGTTTTTCACGTAAAGACTAATCCAGTCTATGTCACTCGTTTTATACGTTTTTTCCGTTTTCAGTATGCTTTTTAGTGCACTTTTACGGTCTTAGGCTTTTGCAAGCATTTATAACACAGTTTGCTTCAACATAGTCATGAAAAACACAAACAAACGTACGGGTTGCCGTTTTGCTGTTACAACTGGCATGCAGTTCGACAACTGCAAAGGTTGGTTCTATGAAGCGTGCACAGATCTGACGGCAAACACTTACAACAGACTCAGCAAGTCGAACCAAAAGTGAATATGTGTCACGTGCGGCACGGACGCAGTAGTCTTGATGAGTAACATCATTGTCCTACTGATAGGTCTGCGGAACAAGTTGTCAGCAAACTTGGATAACGACAGTAAAAAAACGGGTAAACAAACAAGAGCGCGCAATGAACACAAGATTAGGTATGTCGACAGGCATATCAGTGATTGAGCATCCATTAGCACTAATGATGACGTGTTGGAGTTCAGCGCCATCATTTCGTCGACGGTATTAGACTCTCTAATTAAACTCGGGTCTCCCAGCTCAGGGTCCCTGAACACAACAGTGGTTCCCAAAAACCCTGTAGGTGAGTCGACCCACGTTAGCAGAGCCCAAAAGAACCAGGTGTCACCGCCTAAGCTGAGCATCCCAAGTGTTGTTGTACGGAAAACATCTGGTGATTTGGTCGCACAGTATACCCCCAAGGATGTTCGTCCGGTCATCAAAGAGCCCAAGATTCCAAAACATGCCTTGTCCTCCAAACAACAAGATAATAAACCTGAACCCAACGGGAAACCTGGTAAATCAACAACAGTTCGTGACGATTCTCTCATAATCATGAACCTTATTGACAATCCTGACCTGCCTCTCAGTCTGCAGGATAAAAATGATAGGATGATCTAGGGCGAGTTGAATAAGAAGCTCGAACTTTCTAGAATACAGCCTTTGAAGGTCACCTGGCTAACTTGAGGAAAGGATTCTAAGCATCTAAATTACCCGAGGCTTCTTCTGGTAACACTTAATAATGCTAACGACGTAGAGGACGTCTTACTAGCCAGTCACTTGCTGAAATCCGATGGGTATGTAAGAATATTGCCCGACATGCCGTACTCTGAGCCCAATATCATACGGAACACCCTTAAAGAATATCGCGAAAAGTTTTTCGGCGGAAGAAACATAATTGTGCAAGGTAAATCGGAAAATACGGACCCTACTCAATCAAACTTTGACATCAGGGAATGGAAATTCATCAAACAGTCCTTGAGGCTCAAACACATACTGACTCAGTATGTGAGGAGACTAGTCAAGAAGGATGGTGATCCTAGACCCCGTCTAATGAAGATAACCTTCCCATCTTTCCACATGTCGGCTGCAGTTCTGGAAGCATTTCGTGCCAACAGACGTCGACTGCCACCTGGAATCCACATGCACCCAGACAGGCCATATGAAGCTAGGGCCAAGCACAAAGGCAAGTTGGAGCTGACCATTCCACTTGTGGACTGTCTAAATGATAAAAAACGTGTAAAGGACAGGGCCTACCACCTCGGCAAACCTCACATAGGTGGGCTACTTGTCCATTCACATAAGGCTCATGCAGACAAACAGAACGAAGCTCACGCGTTCCAAATTGAAAGCATGAACTGCTTATATATGAACGCTGCGAATCTACCAAACAAACTGGATGAATTACGTGAACTTAGCAACGCTAATAAGGCCCATCTGATAGGAATATCTGAAACCTGGATATCTTCTCAGTTCTCGGACTAAGAGTTAGCATTACCTGGGATGTCTTTGTTCCACAACGACAGAAAATCAGGAATTGGGGGCGGAGTAGCCGTATTCATACGTTCTTGCTTGTAGGTGCACCAATTTCACAACCTCGAGTTTAACAATCTTGAGGAATCCATATGGTGCTCTGTAAGATTGTCTACAACTTCGAAGTGCCTAGTTGGAGTCATTTACAGGAAGCCAACTGCCGACATCGAGTACGATAGTCATATGCTGGAAGGGCTATCCCGTTCTACTGGTCTCGGTTTCACACACTTCTTGATTCTAAGGGACTTTAAGCACCCTAGAGTCAACTTCGCGGAACACACGTATACTGGAGGCGACAACTGAATTGAAGCTCGGTTCTTCAACCTCATCGATGACTTGGGCTTATATGAAAATGTGAGGTCAGCAACTCGGTGGAGAAACAGTCAGACACCATCGCGGTTAGACTGTCTATTAACAAACGAAGAATTCCTAGTTGACAACCTTTCAATCCTGGCTCTTCTGGGAAAGAGCGATCATGCCGTCATAGCCTTCAGTTTTCTCATCAAAACTAAGCTAAGGTATCCCAACAATAATTTGCGTTGTAATTTTAAACGGCTGAATGTGCCAGCTCTACATGACTTTCTACAACAGGTGATTTGGGATGTTCACCCCCAACTCGATGTGGACTGTCATTGGGACTTCTTACTGCACACGCTCTTATGTGCTACAAACCATTCAGTTCCTCAAACGGTTCCCAAAAGCTGCAAGACACCTATAGTAATCAAGAACCGTACCCTTCTCCTGCTAAGCCGTATAAGGTATGTTGGGCGGAATACGAACGAACTAATAACGACGGAGCGTATAGGCAACCTGCTGGCTGCGGTGGACAGATGGACATGCATCCTCGATCGCAAGGAAAAGGTTTATACCATTTACCTTGATTTCTCAAAAGCTTTTGATAAAGTTAACCACTTGTGTCGTATCAATAAGCTCAAATGACTAGGTATCAAACCACCGCTAATCGATTGGCTTACTTCATACCTAAAAAATCGACACTTTAAGGTTAGTGTTTGTAGCGAGGTGTCGAGAGGAGATTGACTATGAACACCGCTACCAAGAAGCTCATTCCAAATGACTCCTTAAAATCCCCGAGAAGCCAAATATCAGAAGGCAATTAATGGACCAAATCGAGATATATTTGCTGGCGATCTCGTGGTATCGAAAGGATACCGAGATCGTGCCAGGATACAAGCTTGGTTACAGAACGTAACCGAATTCACGCGAAGTCACAATCAAAGTGTAAGAATAAGAATGGAAGCACAATATAGCTGTCATTAGCACAGTCAAACAAAAGCACATTAAAACAAACACTGGTACAATTGGTTATAATAATAATTGTTTTTATTAAACCAGTCGTGTTCTCGTGATAAATGTAAGTCACTACAGGAGCTCCTCTCTAGAAAGGATTTACACTTTCGATAAATAGCGGTTTAAATCGTGGGACTGATCAGCTGACGAGCGATTGTAGGACGCATGAATTGGCAAACAGGAAAGCGATCGTTGATCGTCGAGTTGCCAACGCAGGTCATTTTCGGAGAACGGTATCACGAGCGATGTGCTGTACTTGTTGCTTGAGTTGGCATGCTACCCGAGTGGTTTGTATCCAGAATCAGAAGATCGCGTTCGTAGGGAATGCGGACCTGAAACGCTGCAGACGTAGGACGAAACCACGTTGAGCCAAAAGACCAGAAGCGACCGTAACGACCAAGTTCGAGACCAAGCGTATGTCAAACATTCAAACCAATATATCGACTGAGTGCGTTGACAAGAGCGTGGGTGGCCAGTCCAGCTTTCGCCAAAGTTGAGTGAAGTCGACGGAACCAAACGGAGATGATCGAAGGCGTGGGCTCAGGAAACAAAAAGAAAATTAAAAAAGAGAAGAGTGTAGCATGTGTGTAGTATAGGAATTATCGTACACCGTATCCTTTGTCGACTGTGCGACTAGTCACGAAAGCGTACGGGCAACCGTACTCGGCGACCGGAACGTGAGACGGTAGTCTCGTTCGTATTTCGTGAGCCTGCAATCTCATTCGAGATCAGACGCGGCGTGGTCTGCTGATCTGGACGCGAGACTGTCGTCTCGTCCGTAGATAGTGCAGATGACGCGTGTTGTTGACCGGAACGTGAGAATGAGGTCTTCGGTGTATCTAGCGTGGGATCTGAAAAAGATTTAAAGATCCCGCTAGGTTTGATAGGTCTAGCATTGAATCTCAAGTTATCGGATAGGGCACTGTCATGGACGTGTGCTGATTTGAGACGATCAATGCAGACGGTCTCGACGCGTCCATATCGATCAACCTTGAAGGTCTTTTCGTGGTGTGAAGAATTCTCCGGGCAGACGCAATGTCGTGCCGTATACAAGTTCAGAGGCGGAACATTGGATATCTGCCTTTAAGCTCGTTCCGATCCCTAAAATAACGAGCGGTATGGTTTTGTGCCAGTTGCCGTTTTCGTGTGCTCGTAGAGCACTTCTAAGTTGGCAGTGAAACCGTTCAACTTAACCCTTTGGTGCTGGGTGGTTGACGGGTATGATTATTTGAAATATTCCCATATTGTAAATTTAGAACAACATATATAAGCGAACAATATTGTTTTCGATTAGATCCTCATCAGGCTTTACTCTAATATACAGTAATATTTATATGCATATACGAAATTATTAAACCAATCAAGGTAGTTTATAAGTCAATGATAACAATGGAAACGATTACATAATAAGTAAAATGTGAAAAGTACAAATTACTAGTGTGATGA